TTTTTTCACGCGTGGTTCGTAGCGAGTTATGCTCCCAGGATGCCTTTTATCCCCAGTGCTTTTTATTTTTTTTTTTAAACTTTTATTTTTTTTTTTAAACGTTTGAGTCAGTCAGTGGAGGAATCTTTGGTAGTTTGTTTTTAAATGTCCATTTTACAAAGACTCTTTCTTCATGCCAGTGCCTGGTGAATCTTTTGTAGCCTCTGCCAGAACAAGGTCACCTCTGATGACTTAAGACAGACAGGAGGAGGAGACCTGGGAAAAGCCATATATGTGCTAACGTCCCAAAAGCACCTGATCGCGAATCTACAAAAGGGGGAAAAGAGCAGAATTAGCAAGTGTCCCAATGAGAAAATCAACAGCTGGTTAATGAACTGCAGATGACTTGACTTGGTGCAACAACGTCACAGAGAGAGAAAAATCCCGTGTGGAGAAAGAGAAGCTGGAAGAAAAGCAATATAATTCCTCCCTCTATACAGTGAGGATCGTGGTAATGGTTTCGTTTTTAAAGATCTTTGAGATCTACTGATGGAAAGCTGTATGTGGGAGCCAGGGGTTATTATTATTGGTAATAAATAAGGGAACAAGGATCCTGACTTATGCACTGAAGGAGGCAGAGACCTGTGGAAAAAAATCATGTGTAATCATGTAATTGGAGAAGCATCAAAATGCATATGCACGATGGAGGAAATCAAAGTTTCGCTGGGCACCTTGCTACAGCCATTTCCTAACTCCTGAGGGCTGAGACCCCCTAATGTGCTTTAAATGTCTGGTTGTGTGCAGTGAATGGATCTCAGATCTCCGTCTTAATCAACTTTTTAAATGTTCAAAATAAAGTCCTGTGTATCTGCTGTCTGAGGGCCACGTTCTGATGGGTTTATTTCAGTACAGTTGTAACTTAAACCATGGGAAATTCAAGGGATGTATTTGGTAGCCATGTTAGTCTGAGACGGTCCAGGGATTTCAGAGAGGTTACCACTCAAGGGCTACTCTGTGGGAGAGAGACCTTCAAAATGTAGCTGGTATTCCATTAGTATACAAACCCCTGAAACTTCCCATGGTACAAGTCCTGTGTGTCTACAACCATACTGGAACAAGCCCATCAGAGCCTGGTCCTTGGACAGTAGACATGTGGATAGGTCTACTTTCCATACCTCTACCTCTAAGTGTAGTTCCCTGCTCCTGACCTGTCTGTCTTGCACTTGGTTTCCTTTCTCTTCTGCTCTATTGTTTTAAAGCTTTCTTCATTTACATATCTAGATAGACACAGTTTAGCTGGAAAGGTGGACCCCAATGCAGTCTTTAAGGTTCCCCCCATACCTCCCCCCCAGCCAGCAGGTCATTTTGCTCTGGTCTCTGCACCTGCAGGTCTGGATTATAACATGGATCAGGTTTACAGTGCTAGGGAGCAGCGTGAGCATGCAAGACAGCTCTTTGCACTAAAGGAGGACCCACTTACTGATGGGCGGCTGGTATGTTTTCATACACTCTCCTTCCACAATTGATATGTCGTCAATAGCAATGTCGCCTTCTATGCCAGGGCCTCGGATTCCTTCAAAAATGACCTGCAAAAAATCCAAAGAAAATATATTTCACAAAGTAGGAAATTCACAACAACTGAAGCATTTCCTGTGTCGATGTGCCTACGCGAACATGCATACATCTGCTCTGAGGCAGAGACATACCACTGCATATCCAAATGCCTACCATGTACTTGAGGTGGGCTCACGTTTCAACTGGACGCAGGAGATGTACAAACAACTGAGGCTTCTAAGTTGCAAAAATCAGTCATAGAGCAACAAAGCTGCTGCTTTGTAGCTTTGAGGTACTAATTACTTCCCTCTTCAGACCACTTTCCAAATGTCTCTAGCTGTGTATTGGAACCAGGACAGAAGTGCAATAAACCGATTTAACCTAAATCAGTTCAGTCTGCTACTACATCCATCCAGATTTATCTTAAACTGGTTTCAGCCATTTTGAAAGTAGTTTATACGCACTGAACTTCTGTTGTGTTACAGATTGGAACTAGTTTCTGATCACTTATACCAACTTATGTGTAATTTCTATCCCTAGCCTTGGGTGGGACAGGAATTCTTTCTGGTCACACTACGCACTGGAGATATGGCCCATGCTGAGGGAATGAACCAGGGTGTGGACATTCATTTCCAGCCTAATAATGACTTGGTAGTAGTGTAAAAATATGGTATTTTGCTCTGCCAGACAGCAAATGCCTAGTGCCTTCAGGCTGGCTTTTTGGTTATGAAGAATGAATTAATAAAGAGGGTATGTGATAACTGCTTTGTTTTATTCACACAACTATATAAATCCTGAAACAGAGGTGGTCAGACAAATACAATCCATTTTCTTCTTTCATGATCTCTAGCCTCATGCCAATGACTGGTTCCCAAGGAGTAACTCTACAACCAAAGAACTGACACCAATTAGAGACCACGAAAGACAAATTCTCCTGCTTTTGGCACAGCTCCTCCTAAAATGAATGTTGCATAACAAAGCTACAAGTACCACAGTACATCAGACATTTTCCTGCATACTTAAAAAAAAATTGGAAATCTATGTTGCCAGCAGCACCTTGTGACACCTGCAATTATATCGTTTTGACTTTGTACAAAGGCCCTGTGGGCCTGCATGATAGGTGCTGTAGAAATAGGCTGTTTACTGTAGTCTGGCTCCATATAGCAAGGACATGTTGGAGAATGAGTATGCCGTGATGGAAGGAAAGATTGAATTGGCTATACGACAAGGTTAAACATAAGCGTGCCCTCAGTAGGGAGTCTTGAGGTAACTCACCTTATGCTGATGAAGAAAAGGGTCTAAACATGTTTGCTATCATAAACTCTAATCAACTCAGCAAAATAGCTAGGAGGGCAGGGAGAACAGAGCTGAAAGAAGAACTGGATGTTGGACGAATTGTGCAATTCATTTGCCCATATTCCATTAAACAAGATTTGCACAGTGGGGCCTTTTCCCTAACCTGTGGCCTGGCAGTGTGGGATGTAGTTAATCGATGTCTCCCTCATGAGAATGTCCTGATGGGTTGTGGAGGCCCAGAAGGTCAATCACTGACAAGTCTCAGGGACATTGTTTCCCAGGCCTCTGGGAAGTTTTTGTCCCTGGCCTTGTCTCTAGCTTCCAAGCATACACCAGATATCCACCACCATGCCTTTGGGTGCCCAAAGACATACTCCACAGTCATTCAGCAACTGCTCAGTAACCAATTAAAGAGCTCCTCCCCAGTACAGGGCTTCACAAGCCATAGAAGCAGTGAATATAGCAGTTGGAGTCCTGAGTAGCAAGGGAAGTAGTTTCCCCTTCTAGCTCAATGGTGGTAAAGCCATAGGCATCACATGTGCAAAAGTGGTAAAGCCATATGCTCCCTGTGTCAGCAAGGACAGCACTCTGGAGTTCCTGAAGATGCTAGACCTTACCTGAACCCTTACGAGACATGTGTGTGATCTGTCCAATTCCAATTAACCAATTCTTCACCTCTGTTTTCTTGGGCAGGGACTGGGACTTCCCCACCATGATGCAAGACGGACTCGAGGGGAACGCCTCCAGACCTCAGGTTGGGGAGGACCGGGTTAGAGAGCTTCCGGAGGGGCTGAACATGTTCAAATCAGCAGGTCCAGATGCTCTCCACCCCAGGGTGTTGAGGGGGTTATTGCAGGGCCCTTGGCATGGCTTTATGAGCGCTCGTGGTGATTGGGCCAGGTGCCAGATGATTGGAAGGTAGTCAATGTGGTCCCCATTTTTAAAAAAGGGAGGAGGGAGGACCCAGGCAACTATAGGCCCGTCAGTCTTACCTCAATCCTAGGGAAACTCTTTCAGAAGATCATCATGGAGCACATCTGCAGTTGGCCGGCCTCAGAGATGATGCTCAAGGGCAACTGGCACGGTTTCATTAGGGGCAGGTCATGTCAGACCAACCTGATTGCCTTTTATGATCAGGTCACAAAAGCCTTGGATGCAGGTGTTGCCATGGATGTAGTCTTTCTGGATTTCAGCAAGGCCTTTGACACCATCTCCCACCCCATCCTCATTAAAAAATTGGGTGACTGTGGCATTGATGCCTACACAGTCAGATGGGTTTCAGATTGGCTGAAGGGTCACACTCAGAGGGTGGTGGTGGATGGGTCATATTTGACCTGGGGAGAAGTGGGCAGTGGAGTCCCCCAGGGCTTGGTCCTTGGGCCCGCGCTGTTCAATCTCTTTATCAGCGATTTGGATGATGGGGTGAAAAGCGCCCTGTTTAAATTCGCTGATGATACCAAAATTTGGGGAGAGGTGAGCACGCTAGTAGGGAGGGAAAGACTGCAGCAAGACCTGGATAGGTTACAGGGGTGGGCTAGCAAAAACAGGATGCGTTTCAATAGTGACAAGTGCAGGGAGCTGCACTTGGGCAGTAGTAACCAGCAGCACACTTATAACATGGGAAACTCCCATTGACTCCAAGATGAACATGGGCCAACAATGCGAGGTAATGGTTGGAAGGGCTAACCGCACCTTGTCATGTATCCACAGGTGCATTTCTAGCAGGGCCAAGGAGGTGATCCTCCCCCTCTATGCGACACTGGTCAGGCCACAGCTGGAGTACTGTGTCCAGTTCTGTGCGCCCCACTTCAGGAGGGATGTGGACAATACTGAAAGGGTCCAGAGGAGGCCACCCGCATGATCCGGGGACAACAGGACAGACCCTAAACCTGTTCAGCCTTCACAAGAGAAGGCTGAGGGGGGACCTGGTGACTGTCTATAAACTCACTAGGGGGGACCAGAAGGGTTTGGGAGAGACCTTGTTTCCCCTAGCGCCCCCCCGCATAACAAGGAATAACGGCCAGAAGTTGTTGGAGAGTAGGTTTAGATTAGACATCTGTAAGACCTGCTTCATGGTCAGGGTGGCTAGGATCTGGAACCAACTTCCAAGGGAAGTGGTGCTGGCTCCTACCCTGGGGGTCTTTAAGAGGAGGCTTGATGCCTACCTAGCTGGGATCATTTGAGCCCAGTTTTTTCTCCTGCCCTGGCAGGGGGTCGGACTTGAAGATCTATAAGGTCCCTTCTGACCCAACTGCTGTGATTCTATGATTCTATGTCCCCAGTGGTTTGGGATGCCCTGCATCTCTCTGGAGAAGCAGCTCTTGAAGCTTATGTACTTCAAGACATGGTGCTTTTAAGAAGAGCCACCATTGAGCATAGGATGGAAATGTGTATCTCACTGATGGGTACAGTGCAGGCTGGAAAGTCCATATGGACAAGACTGGCAATGGCCCACTTCGATTTGGAGAGGTGGAGAGGCCATGTTGAAGCCCTTTATGGATGGTCAATCCAGCTGTGGACTCTCTTGCACTGAAACAGCTGGCAACAGGCCAGAGACTATTGGGAATTTCCAGGTTCCAGCTGGTAATTACGACCCTCATGTTGCTGGCTGAGCCCTGGAGTGATGGGGCCTGGATGATGCAGATCTCAAGGAAGGTTGCCCTACTCATTGCTGCTGGTGGTCATCCCAGGTTGTCAGGAATATCTGCTCCCACCAGTTGCTGCTTGTCTCCTAGGCCTAGGTGTGGGAGATAGGGACACTGTAGAGAGAAGGTGATCTTCTGCATGGTCTCTTATTCCTTCCTCCTCAAGCACGTTGCGCTCAGACTCACAGGAGACATTTTGAAGAAGTAATTTTCCAGTGCCAGGGTCATTGTGCTTTGAGCTGCCATGCTGAAACATGGCAGCTAGCTATGGTATGTTAGAGGGTGGAAAGCATGTCCAGGGAGGTGAGGACTTTCTACATGGCTTGATCGAAGGCTGAGAGATGACATGCATACCTTCTCCACTTCACTTGAGTGTACAGTGGATGTAAAATTGCCCATTCCTCCTGCAATGTCACAGGAGACACAACTAGAAGTCTAAGATTCACATGTACAAAAGGCACTGCAGTTTACACTCAGGTCTCCTTGCAAGCCTCTGGCAACTGTGGTCAAAAGGGATGCTAGGATGCTTCCTCACCAGCTGTGGAGCAGTGCAACAGTTTCATGCTCTGGCCCTCTTGGACTCTAGGTCTGTATACGAGGAAGGTGATGGGACAGGAAAGAAGAGAGCAGCTTTGTGTGGTTTGTAGAGACTAAAATACCATTGCTTCAGCTGAGTGGAAAATTATCCCTGTTTGGGGATGTCTGGCCTGGAGAAAGGTCAACAATATTATTTGCCATAATGCCTGTTGTTAGTGATGGATTACTATTCTACTGTGGCAACAAAGCCATGTTTGTTCCCTTCCCAACAATGCTGTGATTCCAGAACTGCTGTACTGTTGGTTTAATTAGGTTTGCAGAAGAGTGGACCTAGCCAGTGTTGCAGAAAATGTATTCAATAGCAACCTTCAAAGCCTTTCTATAGAGATGAACAGAATTATGCAATAAATATATTTTGTGAGCAGTATCATTCAAATGGTTATATTTTTCTTTTTGTTCCATTGGAATGCTTTTGGTTAACTGAGGTGACAAGTTTTCACTTTAATCTGCTACAATATATGCATGAAATTCAATTAACTTTAAATGAGCATGCT